AATAAGGTAGATTGTAAACTGAGTATATTTATAGGTAGGTTAAGTTTGTGGTTAATACAAACTATCAGTTACCTATAGAAATGCAATGTCATTTAACCAATGGTTGGTTTTGAATGACCTTGGTACCTTGTACCAAATATCCCGGAGTATGACATGTCATACTCCTGAAGTGTGAAGTGTCACACTTCATGTAACCAGGGTACTCTTAGTGCTACGTACCCCGTTATATCCTCCCCCACTTAGGTTCGGTTTACCGACCAATCAGAATGAAGAGATGTTCGTCACAAACTCTCATTCTCAAAGTCGAAAACCATCGACTCGGCCGCGCGAGCGCGGGGGGAGGCTCACTTTACAGTTAGAGCCTCGAGCAGCAACCTGTGCGCTCTTCGTCAAGGTCTCCACTTCGACCGTTAACATGCCTCGTGGCACTGCTAAGAGCGGTGCTAAGACACGCTCCAAGGCTGCAGCCGGTAAGGCGCAGGCCAAGAGCACTAAGCCTCACGGCAAAGGCTCTGCACTCAAGGAGGCTACTCAGGTGGCCTCCGAGGCGATCGGATCCTCGGGTGACGCGGCTGCGGACAAGCGCGCAAGCGGGCGCCGCAGTCCGTCGCCCTCGTCTTCAGACAATCGTCCGAACCCTCGGTTCGTAGAACATGAGTTCAACTCGAGCAGTGAGGACGATGCCGAGTCCGAGAGCACTCATGATGCTCCTGCGGGCTCTGTGGGAGGGCACAGCCCAGTGCCCAGTGAGCACAAAAGAAGACAGCGTGCAGTCGTCCGCTAGTGATCACGGTGATCACAGTCCCAGGACCTCTGTGCGCTCTGAGAGTCCGGCCGTTAAGGCTAAGGGCACTCCCAAAGCCGGTGGCGATGAGAAGGGAGTCCTCGCAAACGTCTCTCGCTTGCGAGGTCTTGCGCGCGCTAAGGCCTCTAAAGCCGAAGGCGCCAAGCCCTCAAGAAGCGTACCGCCTCTAAGTCTCCACTCCGCGAGGAGAAGGAGACTCGACGCTCCTATCAGAGTCTCTTCGGCTCCTCGGATGAAGAGGAGGAGAAGGAGGAAGAAGAGGAGGAGGAGGGTGCTATCGTTGAGCCCCGGGAGGTCTCGAATGATCTCGACCAGCAGCAGGAGGAATTCCAAGCTGCCCAGCGTGTGCGTGGGGGTTCGGTGGCGGCACCCGTCAGCCAGGGAGCTGCCATCAACTCAAGAGGGTATTGGCCTCCCGAGGAGAGCTCTGGGGCTGACCTCTTCTTAGAGCTTCTCGTCGCCCCTCGTGGCCTTGTGGGCGGCCACACTTCTAAGGGCATCTATGAACGAGCCCTTGTTCAGAAAGAACAGTTGTTCGTCGACAACGTGGAGGCTGCTCGGTGTGTGCTTCTCGCGCCACACCGCATTCCCCTTAAGGACTTCACGACTTGTCGTAAGAAGCCCGAGACCCGGGGTGGTCTCTATCCTGTTTGGGGATACCCCTGGGTTATGACCGAGAACTGTCCCACATGGAGTTCTTGTGAGGACATGTTCTGGGCGTGGGTGGAGACTCTCAAGTACTCGCCCACGGAGTTATGGGAACTCCATGAAGATCAGCAGCTGTCCCACATCCTGGACCAGCGTGATCTTCGTGTGAGGTTTGCCCACTTGATCAGCAAGCGTATGCTGCCAAGGGACATCCTGAAGCGCGCGGCTTCTAGCGCTCACGATGAGCGCGGGTACGGTATGTATTCATCATCCGTACCCCGTTCGGGCAAGAAGCCCCGGACTACTTATGAAGCTGCCGCCGCTTCTGTTCCCAGATTGCGACAGCCTTCGGGCAGTCAATCAGGAGCCGTTCAATCGGCTCCCACGAGTTCTCGGAGTGGGCATAACCCCTCCACTTCACGAGGAGCTGTCGCTTCCCGCGACACCGTTGCTCCTGGAGGATCCGCTCCACGTGGAAGTGGACTTCTCCATTCCGGTCAAGCAGGGGCGGAGGTGCCCTCGTACGAGTACGAGTACTCGGCGCCTCCCGAGAGCCACTCTCGTTCGAGTGCTCCGACTGCGGGTCCGACACGGGACCCTGAGG